CAGGGGGGCAAAATATTGCTGACTGTTTTTAATATAACTTAGTATCTTATTTGGCTTCTGTTGGTCAGAAGTTTAGCCAAACTGTCCATTTATCTTAGGTGGTTTTTTTAGAGTGATACCATTTAACCTAAGACCGAACAATGTATATTCTATAATTAAACTTATTCTTTCCAAACTGCATTACTACTTACTTGTCTGTAATGAATTTTGTCTTTAATTGGGCACATCTGCATGAGATGCTTATTGCACAACAGCCGAATAACACTGCACAGTAGTGTGCTGGGCAGAAACTGTGCTAATATGCTACTGTACAGTGTTGCGAGGCTATTGCGCAGTAAACATCACTAAAAAAATCATGCGTTGGCATAACTGTGGCACATGAACAAATGTATAGAGGCATCCATTGTGTGCCTGTTTGTTGATGGGTCTATTCAAGTCTTGACTAACCAAATAATTTTGTGTCATTTACAAATTTTGCCACATTACCATTCAGGTCTTTTTCTAGACCAGGGATTGGCAACCTAGATCTGACCCATGGTGCATCGGCTTTTTTGTCATATAGCAGCATGGGGTGTTGCCCACGGTTGCACTGCGCTGTGTCACACCTTAGCTGGACAGCCAGATGCTTTGTCCGTGCTAGGTAACAGCGGGGCAGCAGAGAGAAGTCTAGGCATCTGGGTCCTAGTGCTGCTCACATTCAATGTGAGCTGGGTCACTCTGACCTGCTGCTGGAAAACATTGCTGACCCCTGTTTTAGACCACCTAACGTTGTTAGGCAATACCCATCGTAGTGTAGCTCTGTGATCACTCTACTACTGACTTCCTTCCACATTTAAAATAATTTTATTGACACTTCATATTTCCTTCATAGTCTTGTTCTTATAAACTTTCATGAAATAAAATGCCTGTCTCATGCTATTTCTTCTACTTCCATGGCCATGAAATTAATTCAGTAGTTAAAAATACTGGATCAGCATATTTACCAAGTGAAATGTTATGGATTCTGTGTGGACTTAGACCTCATGCAGATATTCAGTTTCTCTGGGTAGAGTTGCTGCACTCTAGGAGAAATCATTGAATGTACAGATGTTCAAATTTTTTCTCCCAAAGTAAAAATGGCCACTCCAAGAGAAAAATCACCTGGGTAACAACGAGATTTAAATTACTCCCAGGAGAGTTTCTTCTGAGAGCGTGAATGTCTGTACTTGCTGTGCCCTTCTTTCAAGAGAACATAGTTCTTCAGCATCTCCCCCATCTTCCTCGGAGACTGTGTCACTCCTAGACTCTGCTGCTCTAGTAGGGAACAGGACACATTCCCTTCACAATCCGCATGTTGTGCTGCAGGGAGACATAAGCTAATCATGAACAGTCTGGGGCAGTTAATCAGGGCTGCCCTATATACTGCTGCCATCTTTTGCCAGGTAGACTAAAGGAGTCTGCAGAGCACAAGACACCCCCCCCCCACCTGCACAGTGTCAGCACTTACAGGGTGTCCACTGTTCAAATTTCTATATATGCAGCTCTAGGTAAAATTTATCTTCCAGGAGAACAAACCTGGGAGATTTCTCCAAGATTATTTGAATGTGTATACACAGCTTCGTTAGTTTCTGTGCTGGGTTTTGCCAGCAGTGACCAGCAGCTTTACTAAGCTGATTTGCTCTATATTAGAGATGAAAAATCGCTACATGACTTTTAAAGAAATGTTAATGCTTAAGAAAGTAGTGTATCGGATTCTTCCATTTATCCAAAGCACAGCTACAACAACCAGCAAGTCTTTTAACATTGTATAGTGCACCAGAATTAGTTTTCTTCAAAGAGCTATAGAATATTTTTTTTTTAGAAAGATAGCTATGGACATAACATTTGATGTATACTGTGATCTTCAGCTAAACTATTTCTTTAGAAAGATTGTTTGGCTGGACTCTAAACTGCAGAATCAAAGGGTGTTTATACATGTGCTTCGGCAGTAGGGGGCAAGGTGTTTTAATTAGAGTGGCTTCGAGAGCCACTCTTACTAAAGTGCTCAGAGCATTGTGTGTATGACTATATACTTTTTTTGGTGTTTCCTAAAATTTCTGTTTTTTGTAGTAATACTATAAATGTTATGAACAAATCTTTCCTCTTATGTGACTTGTGATCTCTGCAATTTTCCAAAACATTTCTGAATAATTAACTGATTACCAGTAATATCTTCCTTCAAGACACTGCTGATGCATCAGGGGGACACTGGGGGGTGGTGGGGGGCACTTGCCCCTTCCCATATTTAATGTTCATTGATTTTATTTATGGAAAGCAGCAGGGAGGTAAAGGGGGAAAAATGCAGGGCTGTAGGACAGCAGGCACCATGCATATGTGCGTGCATGCATACATGCACCTGGCAGTACAGCTAAGAAGGGTGGTGGAAGCAGTTCTCGCAGCTGCATACAGGTAAGTCTATGGGACAGGGTGGGGTGGAGGGGAAGGGGTTGGAGAGTGTCCCGGTGCCATTGGGGCCAGGCTCTGGTGAGCCCAAACCAGCCCTGTACCATCAGGAACCCCCAATGGCACAGGGGCGGTCTGGGCACGTCAGAACTTAATGCACAGCCCTGTTGGCACAGGACCGGTACAGGCCATAAAGGGCCAAGCTCTGGTGAGTCTGGACCAGCCTTGCACCATTGGGGCAAGGGCTAAACTCCAGAAAGCCCCACACACCCTTTGCCCCATACATCCAACCCCTCCCTCCCACACACACACATGCCCTCTGCCCCACACACCAGTTTTCTTGCCAGTTTCCTTCATGTGTAGCTCTTTCTTACTATTACATAGTATCATAAAAATGACATTAAAAGTAGCTCTATAACAGAAATCAAAACTCCTTTGTCTCTTGATTACCTGCCATGTACCTCACTGTGTACCACTGGCACCTTTACATTACCTACCTTCCCCCCATTATTAACAGTCACTAGTCACCTGTGTTTCAAGATGTGTTAATTCTTAATTAAGGGACTTAATTATGGGTGACTATCTCCTTATTACTGAAATTGTTACTTCTAGCAGTGAGCTTTACAAATGCTATTTATCAGAATCAAAGCAGTGCTTGAAGTAATCTGTGACACTGAAATTTCTAATTTTTATATGATTGGAGTTTTGTTTCCATTTCTACTAAGTTTGAATTTACTGGCAATCATTTAAATTCTCTGCATGTAGTGTAAAAATAAAATAAGTGCAAATAATGTTTTGTGATATAGATTGAAGCGAAGGAGGTTTATGCACAAAGACAAAGTCTGCTGAAAGATATTGAAATGATAAGAACCAGAGAGGCAGAAGTGAAGCAAAGAATTGAAGCTTTTGAAATGTGAGTTACTCAGGGTCACAAATTTAGCTTTGTTGCTTTGCTTTGTTTTTGGAAAACATGTTTCAAGATGTGGCATATTTTATTTAATTGAAATATGTTTTTATTTCGCTATTATATGCCACATCTGCTGAGTAATACCACACAGCTGTGTATAGCAGCAGAGGCTTCCTATGCTAAGAGAGGCTTCTTGTTCTCTCACCAAAGAGGCTGGCGCTACTTCAGAGAAACCAAGGAAGTGTATGTCTGCTTTGAAGTCATGAAATTAGAAAAGCAAAATGTAGTATTAGGTCTAAAAAGGCATCTCTAGTAACAGTTTACATTTGTACTGATGCTTGTGTTCTTCATAATATTAACTGTGAATATCTGCTTGGTAAACTTGTTTTTCCTTTTGTAATTTAAATAACCCAAAAATTAATTCCTGCCAACTTCTCAATAGTCCCCAATCTTTTTGTTTCTATTCATCATGTTTTTGTGAGAAGAAAGGAGAGCAGACTTTTTACTGAGAGAAAAATATTTCCTTTGTTAGCCAGCAGAGGGTGTGGATGAAGTAGTATAGTCCTTGGCCATTCTGAAATTGCAGAGATAATCAGTATCTTTTCTGTAATGCTTCTGAGTTTTGAGCAGTTTCAGATCTGGGAAACTGAACCTGGGCCACTACAGGGTAACTGCACAGTTTCTTAGTTCTGTGTCCTTAATAAGACAACTTTGTAGGCTTGGCTGTTTTCTGTTTGTAATGAACAGTAATGACAGACACCAATCATCATTTTTAATGGCCCCAAACTAACCTATTACATTTTTTATTTCAAATGTTATGTTATTAAAAAAAATACTTCCTGAAAGTCCTGGTGTGTCATTGTTAGTATAATTGCTCACTGTCAATATGTTTTTGATTATTTCAGTGCACAGAAGCTTCAGGAAGAAAAAAATAAGGCTATTGATGATGCATTGCGACGTCGGGAGGTTGCTGTGAAAAATATTGAGGAGACTTATGACCAAAGACTTAAGAATGAACTCCTGAAGTAATTTGTTTTTATCTCGGAGACGAAATATTTTATATGAAAATTGAATAATATATTCTGTAGGAGACATATGAGAATTGTAGCGAAGCAAGAACTTGTGTGTGTGTGTGTGTGTGTGTATAGAGAGAGAGAGATTTTTATTTTAATTAGTTTGTCACTTGTTTACGTGTCACTTACCATGAACACAGAAACAGAGTTGCAGCTAGCAAAAAGTGCACCCTGCTTAGTGATGTTCTACCCACAAGCCTTTAGAATTTTAAGTGAGTCAGACTTCCAGGCTTCTGTATGGGAGGAAGAAAGTATGTTAATTTGTGCAGTTGGGCAGGTAGATGCAGAGTAGCTTTGGTCATTTATTTTGGCCACTGGTTGGAGGAATCAGGGGGACAAACCCAATATTAATAGGGTATAAGTGGTTACTTGCGGAAGCAAATGATTGCACACTTAAAAATCAATTCAAAAGAGCTCCTATCATAAAAATTATTATATTTTTAAAAACTGGCTGTTTGATGCTGTCCTGTACCTTTTTGTTACTTTTTTTTTTGCTCAGCTGATAGCTATTAAACCATAACCCTGTCCACAAATATAATCTTTAGCTTCATCTACTAATGTTTTGTTAAATACTTTTGAATCTTAAGATGGAAGGGCTGTTTTAAGAGTATGGTGTATTTATTTATTAAAATTACAGAGATTTTTAAAAACGTTTTTGGCACTATATGTGCAGAAAGGCACAATTCCTCCAAAAATTCTGACAATCAATATTCCTTTTGTCCAGTAGCTATAATATTGAAGCTGACATTAAAATATTATTGCCTGTACAACCTATAACACCAGTGACTGATTGTTGTATTATGAAGGTACAAGGCTTAAAGAGAACTAGTAACTGGAATCAAAAGAAAAAAATTAGAAAAAATATGGCAGACCTATATATAATTATTTGAAAGTAGATTAATATATTGTGGTTTATAAAAATGGGAAAAGACCATTATTTTCATGAATAAGTGATTTGATTATAAGGTCACATGTTCTGACATTTGCATATGCTTAGTTATAATGATAAAAGTATGCATTAAAATATTTGAGATAATGAAGACAATATGAACCATGATTAGATTTTCTGTGATTTAATATTTGCTGAGAAATGAGGATAGACTTCCCTTTTTCATGTAGAAATGAAGTTAATGGATTAGAAATGGGAGAACTGTTTATTTTTATATTAACCTTCAAATAACACAAGCAGTATCAGGACCTCAGTGATTTCAACTTTTATAAAGTCACAAGAAGATGTAGCTGCCTCACAGTGCTCATAATCTAAGTAAGGTCTGATTCTATGAACTACACGCCCTAGGCTCCGTAGATTTCAGTGGGCACATCTACATCAGATGCTTACTATGCATTAGCCTAATAACACTGTGCAATAGTGCGTCATGGCAAAAACCGTGTTAATAGCCTACTGCGCAGTGTTATTAGGCTAATGCGCAGTAGGTGTCACTAAATAATCATGTGCTGGCACTACTGTACAGTAACTCTAGGTACTGTACATTTAGTTAGTACTTAATTAAGCAAGTACTAAGCTAAATGTGCAGTATCTAAGGTGCATTAATAAATGTGTAGATATGCCCAGTGGGACCTAAGGGCTCCTATCATTTACAAGATAAGGAGCTTCAGTTCTGCTAGAATTAATAGATATAAAACTTCTTATCATTAACGTGGAAGTTGGGAAATTACAGGGGGGGTTTTCTTTCGGATTTTTGGAAATTACAGCGGGGTTTTCTTTTATTCTTAGATACCAGCTTGAGCTGAAGGAAGAATATACAGCCAGAACCACTAAAGTTACTGAAGATGAAAAAAAGAATAAAGGTAACTAATATATTTAATTTTAAGTACCACATCTATTGTTTATCTTGTAGTTTATTAAAATGGCAATAAGTCAGTTCCACCATGGCACTTTCGGTTTCTCTGAGCCCCCACAGGTCAGGGCAGAGCAGCCTGCGCTGCTGAGCCCCCATGGCCCGGGGCATAGCAGGCTGCATGGGGTCTGCCTCCCTGTCCTGCAGGGCCTGCAGGAGGGGCGGCAATGCTGTGGACCCGGCAGGAGAAGCAGTGGCCCGAACAGGCAAAGACACCTATTTGGGTGTCTTGGTTAACCAGCATATTTTGTTATCTGGCACACCCCATTCCCGTGGGATGCTGGATAACAGAGCTTTTACTGTAGTACATTTAAATGAAGCTCTTGACAGATAGAGGTCAAAAGATCATCTTTAAATTTATATGATGGTGTCCTGAAAAACATTCCTAAGAAATAGTATGTGATCATGTAATTAAAGGCTGCATCGTAATACATAAGTACAAAGGGGCAGATACCTGAGCAACCTTAATTCCAGTTTTTTGTAAAATTCAAACTTTAATTTTCAGCTAATGTAGATGCTTGTGTGTAGTACGTTAGCAAATTTTCACTCGGGCTCTTTATTCTCCGAACAGAGAAGGCCATGCTTTTGCATGAAGAGGCTGTTGCTGTTAATTCGAAAAAGGAAGAACTCAAGCAAGCAATATCTCATGCAAAAGAACTGGAGGTAATTATGAGTCCAGATTTAGAGCAGCTGTGCATTTGAACTGTGTTCTTGTACATTTTCAGGAGAGGTGTATAAAATAACTTCCCATCATTGTGCTGTATTACCATATTTACCATCTAATAGAAGATGAACCTGATTATAAGATGATCCCCCCCAATAAATACATTCAGTATACAGAAAATTTATAAATTTGTTATCATTTTCCAGATCTAAAATCTAGTTATTGGAGTCTTGCCTTGAATTTTTCCTCCTCCTACTGTTGCAATAGGGAAAATAGATCTGGGAGGTCAGGTAGCCCTTTGCTCTCTGCTTCCCTCCAACTTTTCCCCTAGCTGCCCCTTCAGCCTCTCCTTACTGTCAGACCCTGCTCTCCCTGAGCACACAGAATTGAGACTTGTGATTTACTATATCCTTCATTGTGCCAGGCCCCACTAGAGTTCAGAGCATTTCAGTCTATGGTGTTCCTGCAGCTCAGCACTGCTCTGTATACTCCAGATATTTTATGCCTCCTGCAACAAAGAATCCATGTGCTAATTAGCCCCCACCCAAGACTGGAACTAGGTGTTCTTGTCAGAAGTCCTAGGATGCTCCAAAAATTTATATGAAGATGAGGCATGGCAAATGGGTCTGGCTTCACTTCATGGAGGGTGGGCCACATTAATTATATTTACCAGGCTGAGAGGGGGGGCAACAGAAGGATTCTGGGTGAGCTATATGAAATGTTGTAGCTCACTGTGACTGGAAGAAATGTTGGCAGTGAGTGGGACTTCACTTAATAGGCACTATTGTATGTCTTATTCAGATGGGCTGTAAAAACCTATTCTTGTCATAGGTTTCCATCATTATGTTTGCCCAGTGTGGGTCATGTGTTTTAGAGGCATGTTCAGTGTTGGCTGCTTTTAATCAACTTCGTAGTTAGTTTTAATCTCTGAGCATATGTTGCTTTTGGTAGTAGTTTAATGATAAATGATGAGGGGGAAAAATCTCCCCCTATATTACACATACATTTAAAAAATATATTTTAAATAAGTTTCTAACATTATAAGTTTTTAACACTATTTTTGTCCACAGCTGGAACTAGAGTCAGTAAAAGCTCAAGTTCTGTTGGTAAGCAAACAGAATCATTCACTGACAGAAAAATTGAAAGAGGTCGTAGACTATTCCTTTTTAAAGGAAGAGAAACTGGAGCTTCAGGTGCAGAATAAACTACTTAGACAACAGCTGGAGGAAATTCGTAATGAAAACCAGCATCTGAGAGACAGTATGATTTTATTTTTATTTTTTTCCCTACTTGGTAGAACATTATACAATTCCCATTAAAATAAACTTAACATTACTATTGTTAGCAAACTACTAATATATGTAAGTGAAATGACTAATGTTTTAAAAGAAGCCTTCATGATACTTGGCTTTGCTCTTTTTTGTTTTCATCTTTATATTTCTTTTTTCTTAAGTTTTTAGCATCACACTTGCTAGGTAAAGGTTGGTTATAAATACACTTGTAGACTTTGTGGAAGTCTTGGACTTCTATTACAGACCTTCTGGTGACCTTGGGCTAGTTATTTATCATTATCATCATTAATATAATATTTGTACCTTCATCTAGAATCCTTTATCTAGTGCTAGACACTGCAAAAGCATTAAGAGAACAGTCTTTGCAATGAAATGCTTACAGTCTAAATAAGTCAATGTGACAAAGGAATTACCATTATCCACATTTTACAGATAGGGAAAGAAGGCAGAGATTAATATCCTTCCTGTCCTTTCTCTCCCTTCCTTTGTGTCTACCAGAAACTTGCATCAGTATTTCCAATAATAGCTTTATTTATTGTGGCTAGTAGAGGACAACCTACTGCACACGACCTTTCTGGTATATTTGTCTCTGTAGAATAACAAACTACTGAGACTATGTAGTAATGTGCTACAGTGACATAGTGTCGGCAGGCACAAACTGTGATGCTGCAGCTATGTCACCGTCAAGGTTCCCTCCAAGCTGTGCGTGTGTGCGGCCGCACACAATTTAATACCATGCAGCACACTAACTTTTATTAATGCTGTGCACCTGCCCGGAGAGGAGCTGGGCTGCGGCACAGCATGGTGAGGTGGGGGCTGGGGGTGGAGCTGGGGTGTGGCATGGGCTCAGCCAGCACTGGAGAACTGCTCTGCTTCCTAGCCCCAAGTCCATGTGCCGCCTCACTCCTGGAGCAGGGACACGTTTGGAGCTTGGCTTCCCCAGATCTCAGATTATATGCTGCAGGCAGCAGTGGCTCGAGACAGCCAGGAGTGCACCCTGACACTTCACTCCTCTTCAGACAGCACGTTGCTCTCCCAGCAACAGTGTTTACACAGCCCGATGCAGCACAGTCAGATTCACTTTGGTTACCTGCAGCAGGTAAGTGTGCACAGGGCAGAGCAGGATGGTGCAGAACCTAGGTCTGCATTAGAGGAAACGGAGCAGGTGCAAGGAATTGTTCCTAACCATGATGTAGTTTGGGGGTGATGGTTCCAGCTGTTTTGGTCTAAGGACATAGGCAGACAAGATGCTTTAGGTAAATTATATCACATTTACCCAAAACACCTTGTCTAACTATGACATAGATTCCTGTATCACGAATGGGGAGCCCTCATTACTGGCTCCAGGGAACTGCTCCGCTCCCCAGCCCCCGGTCTGTGCTTGGAGGATTATTGCAAAATCCATTGCATGAGGATTCTAGTCTATACTTTCAAGAGGAAGTACTAAATGACAGTGTAGTAACAATGATGCTGTAGGGGCACATGTAGATGTGTCCACTGTGTTGTACACGTATGGATAGACTGTAGAACAGGCAGAAATGCACATCAAATTAAGGTGTACAGAAGACGGGACAAGTATATTCAGGTATGTTACTTGCTACATAGGAATCTCCTACCCAGGTCTTCTTGGATCTGAGAGAGGCACTCAGAAAATTTGGTCCCTAAAAGAAACAGAAATCCCATTTAGTATATACCAGGGATCAGTAACCTATGGATGATCTGGTCTGTGGCAACCAGAATGGAGAGCACTTGTCCTCACATCAGCCTCACAGCCCCCAGTGCAGTCACCTCTCCCCAAAGCAGTGGCATCTCCCATCGGAGGGAAGTGTCACGAAGCCCACTGTAATTCAAGAGGTATCTGGAGAGCTGTACTGTTTGTTTCACTGCCTTTAGTTCGTTTCACTGATATGATATGTTTGGTCTCATTTAAAAAAAATAATGTTATGCTGTGTTCATTTTTGCCACTCCTTTCTCTATATGGCTACATTATGCTGTCTGTATATATCTTTATGATTTTGAACATGATTTAGCCCAGGAATATTCAACTCCTGTCCCTTAGGCTAAATCTGGTCTGAGGAGCCATGTGATCTGGCCCACGTGGCTTCCCAAGGATCTGGAAATTTGGGGCCAGGGAAAACGGTAGCAGTAACACTTCTGTCCCTCACTGGCAGATTCCAAGCTCTGCAGGCCAGATGATGTGGTTCCATGTGTCTGATGCATGCAGGGCTGGGACTGGAGTAGCAGGCCTGATTCTGGTGCACGTGGGATCTGGGTTGAGTTTTAGGTGGCAGTCCCAATCTGGCACTCCCAGGGCTGGGGCTGGGGAGGCAGACTGAATCTTGCAAGATATGTCATGCAGGACCAGGGCCTGATCTGATGCGTTTTGTATTGGGCTCATGAACCAATCCTGCAGCGCTGATGCAGGCTGCAGGACTGAAAGGTTTGCCGCCACTAGTTTAGCCAAGGTAAATGAGGCTAAATAAATTATGCTAAATACGCAGGGAAAATGGGATGGGCAAACCTGCTAAGTATCTTTCCATTTTTTTACTAGGTGAGAGACAATTACCATTCCCTGTCACAGGCTGACAGGACTCCTGGTGGGATGAGCACCCAAGTAGTTATCTACCTGTAATAGGAAAAACAACTCTATGGTAGCTAAGACATCTCGGAGCAATGGACCCTTAGCTAGAAGAATTCCAGCTGCCCTGTTGGGAAGTAAATATCTAGAAAATGGAGACTCCTGAGGAATAGGGACAGTGCTGTTGCAGGGAGGGGGGACTGGTGTGGAGGTATTTAGGGAACTGTGTTGGAGATAGGGCTTTTGGATTATCCCAAGTTCTGGGAGAGGTCATGTCCCCATGGTCAGGGCTGGCAGGATTGGCAGGAAGGCTGATCTCTGAAAATACTGGCAGGTCTCTCTGAAGGACTAGGATGAGAAGCTAAGAAACTTTCATTTGTCTTTTTGTTTGGTCTTCAAACTTATGGTCAGTTTTTCTTGTATAATTGTTTTCTCCTATATAATAATCCTTTTGTTGTTTTGTCTCTGTACTGATTGCCAGTGGTAGAGTGTGAGTTTAGGGCAGGAGATATTCCAGGCTAACCAATTTTGCAGAAAGGGGGACCTGAAAGTCTTTCACAACCCAAGGGAAAGCCATCTGTATTATATACCAGGGGTCGGTAACATTTTGCTGATGGCAGTCTGCCACGGGCCCCTGATCTCTGCTTGGGTGTCCCTCCCCATCCCATTCCTCTCTTTAGTACACCACTGACAAGCTTCGTCAGCCTCAGGCTTCTCCATGTTATAAACCCATCCATGGGGTATTCCTGGAGCCCCAAATCTTTCCCCGTTGCAGCTGTGAGGCATTAGAGCTGAGGCTTGTGAGATTAAAGTTGCCCATGAAAAACCATGGTCTGTTCCTTAAGACAAGCAATGGGATAGCAAGAATTGGGTCTCTTGCGGGTACTGTGTGGATGGGTTTGTGAGGTAGAAGGGGAGGCTTGAAGCCATTGAGGTTTACCAGTTGGTGGTCCACCGGAGGGAGGAACAAAGTGAGTATACCCAAGCAGGTAGGATCAGCAGCCAGTGGCAGCCTGCCATTGGTAAAAGCCCTGGTATATACTGCAGCAGTATGTGCCTATATAGATCTGTTGGAATTTAGAAGAGTATTTCAGTTTTGTTCCTAAAGGGGTTACTATAAATAATGAGAGTATATTGCTTATAATATTGTAAACTATTTCTTGACATTGTTCTTTTATATGACAGAACTAACTCAGCCATCAGCTGAACATCTGGCCTGCCAAGCGGAGTTGAAGAGAACTGAACATGCTAGAAAGCTGGAACAGGAAGAGTTTGTAAACCACAAACAACTCCTAGAAAAGCAACTACAAACGGAGGTAAAATCTTCTTTTTTACCTAATTAGAATGAGAAATGTTTCTTTTTTTATGTCATTTTGTAAACATGCCCATCCCAACACATATCTAATATGAATGCAGGTGGTACTTTGTTGTATTGTTTTATCTTTCCATTATTTAAGTGCATGAAAATATATTTTCAGCCAATTTGGCGCAAAATAGAAGCATCAGTGCTAGTTTACTGTAAGTCAATACAGCTGATGAACCTGGAAGAAGGAAAAAACCCAACCTAGAAAGCCCCTGCACATTTTGTACTACACAAAATGATCTGTGGTAGTAGAAATAAAGTTTTAAAAGAAATAAGTCTCCCTGGGTAGAAAGAGACATTTTAAACAAGTGTTGAAGATTAGATAAGTTTGGATAAGATTTTCCTTTCAAAATGTCTTGCAGGTTGAGCGGTGCGCACAGTTAAAGAGCCAACTATTAGACTGTGAAGCTACTAACAGAAAGTTAAATATTCAGGTTGAAGATCTGAAAGTGCAGCTGAAGCAAACCCAAACAGGTTTGTATTATGTAGCTTTTTAACTGAGTGTATAAAGACCTTTTCATTTGTACAAACTCTTCCAATGGGTTGAAAAGTAACTGAGGCAGAAAGGGATCAATCTATGAGTAATAAGTTATTACTCATAGTTTGTGAGTCTGTGTAATAACTCATAAGGTGTGAATTCTATAGGGTGCAAATTAGAATTTTAATGTTCAGCTAATTGAGATTCTTGTGTGTAGTAAAGCAGGGATCCTGTTTTTCTCTGTTTAAAAATCCTAACTTCTCAGATAAAAATCCCAGCATTCTCTTAAACCCCCCACAAGACGTGTTTTTCCACAATTAAAATAAAATGCCACTATAGATAGATAGTGGTGTTTCATATATCTATCTACAGATAGATAGATAGAAGTATCTGTTAAACACAGTGTTTTATTCATATATTTACAATTTTAAAGCAGTTTGAAAGCCTGCCAGTGCCTTAGTCACTATAATAAAAAACATTCTAAATACCTATATATATTGGCATTTGTTTTTGGTTTTCTTCATCACGGAAAATCAGAGCTCCCCTACGCTCCCCCTGCTCCCTTCACTCACCAAAACACAGGTCCAGCTGTGGCTGCCCCCCAACCCTGTTACTTTGTAGCACCAACCAGCCCTGATATGCTGGTGCCCTGCCTCTGCCCATGTCCCTGCTCCTCACTCCCAAGTCACAGTCCCCCCACCCCTACCAGTGCTCTTCACTCCGGACCCACTGCCCCCTGCCCCTAGCATGTGGGGAATGGGGTGGATGTGTGGGAAAGGGGGTGTGGACACAGGCAATGTGTTGGGGGGGCACATGCCCCCCAAGATTCCTGTGCCCATATCAGGGTGTGGGGTTGCAGTGAAGTTGGATCAGCTCTGGACAGGATCTGTCTCTGGCTCAGCTTGTGGGACCTGGCCCGGGAGGGAGCAATGTGCTGCCATGGCCTCCAGCGTGAGGTGTGGCAGTGGAATTGTGCCCCATATTGCTGCCAAGTGGGCAGGGGGCACCTCACTGTGGCAGCTATGGCAATGTGGTGCTTGTTTCTATGCCAGGTCCCTTCCACTGGGCTGTGGAGGCAGCTCCTGCCCGCCTGGAAGCAGCAGGTGGTGGGCGCGGAAATCTTGGGAGGCACATGCCTTCTCCATGTTGCCTTGGCCCCCTCACTCCCCAACATGTCACCTGTGCTCCCCCACCCCTGTCACATACTGTCTGTGCCCTCCCCACCCCCCCATGCTTTGCCTGTGATCCTTCCCCACCACCTCCATAGACTTACCTGGAAGGAGCTGCAGGAGCTGATCTCCTTGCTGCTTGGTTGCCACATGCATGTATCCATGCATACATGCACAAGGCACCCCCTGTGACCTCTTCCCCCAGCCCCAAGCAGACCTTGCACACTGGAACTGTGCCCGCCTGCAAGAGGAAACCTGTAGTTTTCCCTTGCAGGCTGGGAAAACTGCCTGCAAGGGAAAACTACAGGTTTTTATGCTATTATAAAATAATAGCATAAACCACATTCAGTATTTTTATATCAAAAGAAAATTAGCTTATGGATCAACAGTATGAATGCCCCATTTCACACTGATCATTTAAAACAGACATTTATAAACTTTTAAAGTGTAAGAGATGGTTCAAGGAGCTGTTGCTGCCAAGTGACATTGCATTCTGAGTAGTTTAATATGTTTTAGGTACAATAATTATTGAAGTACCAAAGAAATATTAGCCTTTTTAAGCATTTGATATTTTTGCATCTGTTGGATCTAAATATTTACTTACAAAAACAAATGAGTGATGACTTGAAGTTACACAGCAACATGAAATGAAATATATCATATTTTCTTACATACAACACGTAGTAAGTAACTGAGTAGTAGTGGCTAGAGCAGGGGTAGGCAAAATGGTGGATCCAGATGGTGGCCAGATTCATTTTCCTAGCATCCCCTGCCCACATGGCTGGGGGCAGTTTCCGTGGAGACCCCAGCACCAGCTGCTCTGTGATAGCATGGGGCCAGGGTTTCTGTGAAGACTGGCCCCAGCAGTGCTGGCAGGGTGCAAAACTGCTTTGGAGCCCGGCTGGGATCTTGTGGCAGTGACAGCATGATCCAGAGCCAGGGCACAGTTGCGATCCTCAGCCTGCATGCTCTGGGCAGGGGTGTGCAGGCAGTGGATCATGGCTGTGCCTCAGCTTCTTGCAGTGCTGACAGTGTGGTCCAGAGCTGGGGCTGAGCTGTGATCTGCTGCCTGCATGCCCCTGCCTGGAGCTCTGTCCTGGGTCTGGACCATGCTGTCACTGCTGTAAGATCCCAGCTGGGCTCTGGAGCAGCTCTGTGCCCTGCCATGTGCCCTATCATCAGGGGCGGGGCTTGAGGGGGTTATAACCACCCCAAAATTCTCCCTAGCCCCCTGCAGGCACCCCTCCCAGTAGCATGGCTGCCTCTCTCCTCTCCCCTCCTATCCTGCCCCCAGGTGCTGCTGCTGTTGCTGCCTGCCAGTGCTGCTGGGGCTGGTGTCCTTGGAAACTCTGGTCCAGGTGGCTGCTGCTGGGGTCTCCATGGATACTGGCTCCAGCCACATGGGCAGATGCTGCTGGGAAATGGAGTGCACAGCTGGCCGGATCTGGCCCACGGGCCGGACTTTGCCCACCCCTAGGCTAGAGGAAGGAGCCTGCTCATTGTTCTGCTCCCTGTGAGTCGGACACAGATTTTACATTTGCCTTTGTCTAGTAACTGGAAGACGGTTTTCTAAGTGTATTTCTTGCATATAATGCATATGGCAATTTCCAGCAACCTTTTTTTTTGGTAGGGGTTGGGGGGAAGGTATATGTTGTATGTGAAGAAAAATGGTAATATCATTTTTAATTGCTTTCCTTTTATACTTTAACTGAAAAAAAATCCTATATTTAAGATCCTATATTTAAGATATTTAAGATTTAAGTAGGTTAAATTTGTAAATATGAAATGTAAGTCACTTCTGAATCATGTGACCAAATCAGAATTTAAATAATTCCTTTCCTTTCCCCCTAATCCCCTTGTTTTTATAGTTCTAGAAAATGAAGTGTATCGGAATCCTAAGGCTTCGCTTGTTGATCGTTCTGTCATTGACTTCACTGGTGATAAATTTGTACCTCATGACATTTATGTGGATGGTATATTCTTGAAAAACCGGGCTATGACTGATATCATGGAAGCAGATGCTGTTTTAAGAGTTGGTCATCACCAGCATTCACGGACACTCGGCACTTCCTCAGATTCTGATTTTGAATCTGTAGCCAAAACCAAGGCTAGGATAAAAGAGCTAGAGAAAGAGGCAGAGTACTTGGAAGAAGCCTACAGAAATTACCAGACTAGAATCATTCAGGGTGCAGTTTGTAGCACACCTACAAAGACTAAATCTGCTATACCTTTACAGTGTGCTGTTGGTAGAGTCCCTTTGACTTCTCAGCGTGAAGTTTTATTTGTAGAAGACAACCTTGGTTCCCAACATTTCGGTTTTAGCAGTTCTAGAGACCAGAGGTATGATGAATCAGCTGGCCACAACGATGTCTTGAAAAATCATCTAACTCCACCACGAGAAAGAATTTCTCCTTCAAGACGCCTTTCTTCTACTCCTCTTTCAAAAGTGGAGAGAAACATCAATAACAAGATAGTTTCTGAAGGTAAACTACTACTTCTCATGGTTTGGCTTGTGCATAATTCAGTTCTGGCAGGATTCGTCTAGGTCCCTTCCGACTCATTGATTCTATGATTTAAAAATGATGATTATGTATTAATTTATCATTTGCTTCTTAAGGGCAGGTGAATGCTACAGGCAAAATATGACAATTAGGAAACTAAGTTTTGATGAAAATGTGAGCTGCAGAAGTGTGGAGGAGTTCAAGTGTACTGCTCTTTAATTTAATCCATTTTAAATGGGCAATTGGAGTAAAATCATAATATGCTGCAGCTGTAATGTACTGTTTTTGTTATAACTTAGTATCCGCTTTTGTACTCTGTTGGGTGAATTTAACTTTGATTTCACAGCTGCAGTAAATCTCCCTGTATACTGTATATCACTGTTGTAATATTGCATGTAAAATACATTAAAAGAAAATTCAGGTTGTAAAATATTGCACTAAGAAGATGTATAATGGCAGAAATAATATGGTCTATGCAACCTGAGCTTTCCCCAACCTGATATATGCATTTGAAAAACACTCTTCAAGGATATGTAGCTTACACAGAACCCCTATTTCACCCAAGGCTGTTGACTGTAGGATTGCTGCTTCTTTTTTTTGTAGAATTTTGACATTATATATGAATGAAGCAGGGGTTTTCAGGGAGAGTATAGTTTTATGGTTAAGGCATTAAATTCAGCCATAGGTAACTGGATTCGACAGGTTTCTCTTGCTTTATGTGGGTTCTGTATGTGTGAAATTGCTCTTATGCGATGACCCCTTTTATACCAAAAATTAATTATATGCAAGGCAAATTCACTCTTATGTGATCACTGTGGTGGAAGCCTGAGCATTTTACTCCCTGTTGCAGCTGCGCCGTGCCCCCTGCCCGCTTGGCAGTGGGACACGTGGCTGCGCATGGCTCTCAGGGCAACAGGGCTCAAAGTGCAGTGGCAGCTTCCTTCGCCCCGTGCACACTAAATGTTCACCATCACCCTGTGCTTGTGTGTACTGTATGCTGTTGGTGAGTACCAAAATTGTCTTGTTAAAGTGGTAGAAATGGGTCTGGGGGACAGTACAGTCGAGGTGTTGGAATGTATCACTCCTTGTTGCATTGTAAAGTGGGTTCCCTTCGTGCGAATTTGAGTTATGTGCCGCTTTCCAGGAACCCACGTACAGCATAAAGTGAGGGGAACCTGTATTCCTGTCTTTGGATGGTAAGCAATCACTTAAAGCAAAATTTTCAAAGGTGGTCACTAACCCTATGGTGTTTATTTTCTGGGTGCTCAGTTGACACCCTGGGTCTAATTTGCTGATAAGCGGACAGTAGTCACAGCTGTAACAGGTCAGTGGGAGCTTTTCTATGAACATATGCAGTGTTGTATATAACCTGATTTTTGAGTCCTTTGTATTACATGTCTCAAATCAAATATATGAAACTAGCAAATCTCTTTCTCCTTAATCTCTGTGCCTCAGTTCCCTAGCTCTAAAATGAGCAGGGGCTGAGTCAAGGTAAATTGCTATTTATGAAGTACTTCCATGCAGTAGTGACAAGCAAAGTAGTATAGCCCATGAGGAAATTAAACTTTTTTCCTTTGAATGTCTGTCTTCAACTTCTGGTGGCATAGCAGTTTATGGTGGCTGAATCCATACCTTTGTGCCTTGGGGCTTTGCCTCCTAATAGAATATAAATGGAAATGGAGCAATTAACTGACCTATATACCATCTTCTCATCAAAGATGAGAGATAGAGCTTGCTCATGGTATCAGGTTTAGCAATATAGGTTTTACCTTTGTTGATATGTACAAATCCAGTAACTAACAAAATCTAGTGTTATACATTTGTGGTAGTTATTCTTGTGATGAGTCAAAAGTGACTAGGTTTTATAGGTTGTTTTGTATGAGAGGTTGTTATGCCCCTGAATTTCAGCTGCTCCATCTGTGTTATTTAGTAAAAAGAAATGTTTAGGTATAGGGGATCCTCACAAAAAAGTTCAGTAAACTCCAGAGTGAACAAAATAACATTTTCTTTGAGGAAAAAATTGATGAGGCCTGTCTTAGAACTGGAAGGTAGGAGAGAACCACCCCTGGGAACTGCTCTGTTACAAGTGGCCCTTGCTGCCCCTTTGCACCTCTGAGGCAATTTTGGTTTTGGTGAGAGATTTCATCCTCTGCCTCAGGGCCATTTATTCTGAGAATGACAAATTCTGGTCCTTAAGAGAACACAGAAGTAAGTCTGTATAATACTGCTCCCAAAAGCAAACGGGAAAATTGCATTCCCTCTGTTTTACCCAAAAATCACAGCAAGTCCTGAAATACAGGGCTGCAAGGCACCCTGAGGTCATCTTGTCCAATGGACTGCTCTATGGCTAGGTAAATATACCCGACCCATTGTTTGGGAGGTGTTCATTTAACCTGTTCTCAAACAAACTCCAGTGGAGAAATAACCCATTCTTTTCCTCCACTACAAAGTCCTGATACCAAACCTTAATCTTCTTTTGCTGCAAATTTCTTGCTGTCAGTCCCACAGCGTACATGGAAAACAATTAGTTATCATCTTTGAATGACAATCTTCATATATTTGAATTATTATTATGCTTCCTCAGTTTTCTCCTTTCTAAACTTAAAACAAACTGAAATTTCAACCATTCTTTATCATTCATGTTTCTAAACTTCTTGTCATTCTTATTCCTGGACTCTTGCCAATTTTTCTACATTTTAACAGTATACTATCAGAAGTTGGATACAGTATCCAGCTGATGTCTTACAAATGTTTAGTGTGGAAGAATTACTTTTGATGTTTTCTATATATCCGTCCTGTTAATGCATCACAAAATGGGGGGTTGAAAGAAATAAGAGGGCTTTTTCCCCACACATCAGTTGGGCAGGGACAGGCAATGCTATAGTTCATTGTTAGGGATGGGATAAATTGACTGAGATTTCTTTTAACAAATAAAATAAAATGTACAATAAACCAGGAATAAAACACCTGTAGACCCTATTGCTCTCATGAACATGGCTGTCATGGCATTTGAGCCTTTGGCATCACATTTGTTTCTTCATTGGTCTCTGAAGCTAATGTTTCTTGTGACAGTTACTTCAGCATGAAGGTTGGTGAGTTACAGGTACTGGATGTTGAATTTACCAGTTACAGTCTTTCACAAGAGATAAATTACCATTTAACAACACCCTTATTAGCTTTTGAAAATCATTTTGGATTTCTCTTCAAACCAGCTCTTACACGTGCCTGTTTCTTTCTCAAGACTGATAGGCCCAAAGATAAAATGCCCTCTCACATGTTGGATGTCCTTCAGGCTTTGTCTTTCTGTTTGGACCAAGGCTATTCAGAGTATGATCTAGCTATATGTATCGGTTGCCAAAGGATGAGGCAGTTTCACCCCAGAGAATCTGTAAATGGGGACTGGCAGAAGGTAGGGAAGGGTGGCACCTTAGAGACAAACTGGTTCAGAGAGGCATGAGCTTTTGTAAGTGACATCCTGCTTTGTCATTTGCTTTTTTTGTCAGCATTTAACAAAGCAGGCTATTACCTATGAAAGCTTATGCCTCTCTGAACCAGTTTGTCTCTAAGGTGCTGCCCTGACCTACCTTCTGTCTGACTTCAAAACAACATGACTAGCTACTTCTCTGCTAAAATGGGTATTGTGTCACAAATGAGGTATCTGACCTGCACCTTCCCAGACATGTTGAATCACATTCTACTATGGGGGTAAGGCAGCTTCTGCTACCTCTTTCAGGGGTGTCTGTTTACATTATATATGTAAAGCTGCTTCTTGGAATATGGAGTATGGACTTTAACTCCACGATAATCTGTTCAATTATCTCATTTAGATGTCTGATTTGGCAGGCTTATAGTTCCATCATTATTGAGACTCAGAAATATGTTCTTGCTTCAGTGATTGATTGCTTGGGATTCACCAGAAGTGGAGCATATATAGACAAGTACTTGAAGAAGAAAGAAAACTTACCTGTTGGGGGAGAGAGTTCTTTGAGATATGTTGTCTACCTGGATTCCATGGGCCACTCTCCTTTCCTTGCTGCTGTTGAGTCTTGACAGAAAGGAGTCGAAGGCCTGTTGGTTGCTCTTTTTTGCTTCATCACATGAGAGGGTGTAGGGGCAATCAGTAGATACTTAATGCACGTACCATCAGAAGCAGAAAACACATAGACAGCACATCTCAAATAACTCCTGTAATGGGGAGGTAAGTAAGCTTTCTGTTTTCAGAGTCGGGTTTGGATAGTGTGCAGTAAATAAGGGCAATATAAGATTGATATGTTCAGATCCATTGCACCATCCTCTGCCATTTAAGCTAATGCTGACATTACAAGAATAGCATCTGACAAAGTAGGCTGTAGTCTAGGAAAATTCATGCCCCTCTAAATTAGTGAGTCTATAAGTTGCCACTCTGCCCTGCCTTATGGTAATAAAAGGTTGTCATATGAAGTGAACACTAGAGGGAGTAGGACACATGCTTTTGGAAGTAGGTTTCATAGATAGTGGGTTTCTTTGACAGCAGAGACATTGTGCAATTGAGAAAACTTGGGTTGTATTCCAGACTGAAGTGGAGTTTGATGTGGTGATTGCACTTTTCTGCATAGGTTCTCCTGCCCCCACTCCCCACCCCACTGTCTCTCAAGTTTAACCTCTTCTCTCCTGTCCCGTCTTTTCCTTATATCAGTGTGATTCTCCTTTTCTATCAGTCTGTCCCTACTTTCCAGATTTTGCATTCCAGTCCCAGTCTCCTTGCTCATCCCAACCTTGTCTTATCCTCCAGGCTTGCAGTCTACTCCCAGTCTCCTCTACTTCACACCAAGAGCAGTCTTCTTGTCTACCCAGTTCCAGCTCCCTTGTCCAATCTGTCTCCTCCCTTCCTTTCACCATTTTCCAGTCCTTCCCTCCATGGGTTCCTCACCCATTCTGTTCTCACTGGCTCCTTCCGCCATAGGATTGTTTTCCAAGTTACTTAGCTGAGCCTGTTTTAAGTCCCTTCCCTGAACTTCTGCTCCTTCTTAGTTCAGTCTTCCTCCCCTCTTTCCACCCTGTTGGTTCTTTGATCCAGTTTTGTCCAGCCAGTCATGTTTTCCCTTCTTCCCTAGTTCTTTGTCTGATCTTTGTGTCCTCTCTTCCACTTACCAGGCTCACAGTCCCAGTTAGGGATGCAGCCTCAAAATCAGGACTTTCTACAGCTGGGAACTGTAGCGTGGGAGAGATTATGCCCTGCTTATATATCAGGATGGATAAAAATCAACATTTTTTTTAAATAAAAAAAGTCAGATTTTAAAATTTTAAATCAGATTTTTTTTAATGTAATGGTATGTTTTGGGGTTTTTTTAAAGATGCTTTTAAAAAAAATAAGCCTATATAAAGATGGTTTTAATTTAAGGTGTGTTAAAGCTCAAAGATATCATCATGGAATAGGGATTATAACTTCTAAATATATACTATTTGAGACAATATATTCATGTAACTCTTTTAGAAAAGTTTTATAAATAGGTCATAACAGGCCATGGTCTATATTAGGGGCCCAATCTTATGTGGCTCCTAGAGAGTCCTCTATAGATTAGTAAATATTAAAGAAAATTACTCTACCCGATGGTCTCAGTGTTCAGTCTAGAACAGGGGTTTTCAACCTTTTTAAATAAGTGTACCCGTGGTGGTCAGATGTTGGGGGAGAGGAGTGGCGTGCGGCTGGATGCAGAGCGGTGGCAGTGCGAGATGCTGGGTGATGGCAGTGGCCACCGCATGTGAGCTCCTCCCCTCCCCCTGCATCCGGCCAGCCAGGCAGCACCCATGTGACCCGCAGGGGGTGCCGCTGCCCTTGCCCCTGCCCCCGGCCCTGCTCCCTGGGACGCGGTGACGCGGGGTGGTAGGTGGTGGCGCTCTGTCGCCACCTGCCTGTGCGTAACCCCTAGGGCCTTCCCAAGTACCCCGGGGATACACGTACCCCTGGTTGACACCCCTGCATCTAGAAGATCCCATTAAGCATCTCTATAGTGCTTAGTTTCAGTTCTCAAACTGTGGATTTGTGTCTCCCGAGATAAAATCCTTGTTAACAGCAGTATATGGAGATGAGACATAACAGATCTGATTACTTACCCATCAGCCCTATTGTCTCTCTGCAAGTTTGTGTACAGAGTTAAGCTCTTATCTCTCTAAAAGTGCAAAGTTTCAAAAAAATGAAAAGCATGTCAACAACATGAATGCTCTTTTTGTAGAAAACGATTAAATCAAGGCATCCTGACCCGTGATTTAAATTGTGATTTAAATCAAATCCACCCTGTTATATACACTTACCCTTAGCATCAGTATCTGCCACTGCAAGAGACAGGATACCAGCCTAGATGGAACTGTGGTCTGATACAGCAAGGCATTTCTTATGTTCAGCATGCTTTCCACTGACTCACCAGTGTCTTTCTGCTTGCCTAACCAGTCCCACTTTCTTTCCTTACCAGCTTCAGTCTCAGTCTTGCAAGGCTTTTTGTCCCATTCTACCACTTTTTACCTCCTTGGTCCAACTTTTGCCCCTTCTTTATTTGAATAGGATAGCTCCTGCCATGCTGCCCGAGTGCCATTAGTTGGGGGTTGGGCTAGATTAATAGATTCATGGATTGTAAGGCAACAAGGGACCTCGGAAGATCATCATGTCCAGTCCCCTGCACCAAGCAGGAAAGATAACTGGGGGTCGGGTAACCCCAGCAAGGTGATTGTCTAGTCTCTTCTTAAAGATTTCCAGGGTAGGTGATTGCACCACCTCTGAAGGGAGCTTATTCCATAGTTTGAACACCCTGACAGTGAAGATATTTTTCCTAGAGTTGAGCCTGAATCTGCCAGGAGTTTGTGAGTGTTACTCCTGGTTTTCTCCTCAGGTTCCCTGGTGAACAGTTACTGAGCCCTTGATGTACTCCCCTAGCATAGCAGCCAACTGCTACCAGGTGCCTTCTCAGACTTCTTTTTCTCAGGCTGAAGAGTCCTAGATCCCTCACCCTTTCCTTATATGGCTTGCCTTTTAAGACTGATCATACAGGCGGCTCTTTGGACTCTCTCAAGCTTGTCCACATCCTTGTTAAAGTGTAATGCCCAGAACTGGATGCAGTACTCCAGGTGTGGTCTCACCAGTGCTGAATAGAGTGGAGGAATCACCTCCTTGGTTTTGCTGGAGATACATCGATTGATTATATGCCAGAGTATTATTTGTCCTACTGGCTACAGCATTGCACTGCCGGCTCATGTTCATACTATGGTCTGTTATTACCCCCAGGTCCCTTTCATTCATGGTGCTAGTCATTTTGGTGCTGCCAGGCCTGTAGATGTGTTGGGGGTTGCTTGTCTCGAGGTGGAACACTTTACATTTCTCAACGTTGAACCTCCTTAGGTCCCTTCCAACCCTAATTTTTTATGATTCTATGATGACATCAAGGCCACAGGGTAGAAAGGCTGGCTCCATCCATGTTCTCCATTTTAGTGTCTGGTCTCATTCCAATCTTGAGCTGTTAAAAGCTGTCCCTGCAACCCCAGGCTGGATGGAGCATGCTAAGTTGCCCTGTGGATAATTATATGTGCACAATCCAGTCATATGTAGAATTTGTGAAATCATGGTCTTGTAATTGGAGGTGTTGAGCTATCAGGCTGCACTTGATTTGGATGCAGATTTGATACAAGAAAGTGGATACATTCTTTCTTTTATTTTATAGATATCAGTGGCTCGTACCTTGCCTCTTCCCAACGGAGTGTTGACCAGCCTCTTTCTCCTATATTGAAGACAGGACATCTTTCCTCTTCTGAGTCTGGTTCTTCCTCCCCCAGTAGTCACAGAAAAAAACTAAGGTAAATATTGTAAGACTGTTTGAAGTGAGAAAAGATTCATATAATCTTACATTTAAAATAAGCATATATCTATCTGTTGTGGTTTCCTGGTTACAGCAGTCTTTTACTGTCTTTATCAGTGATTCTCGATGAGGGTGCTGTCAGATCTTTTTAAGGGAGCCTTTAGGTGCCATACAGTATTAGCACTGTTAGATTTTCAATTACCGGCATGATTCACAAGATAAACCCAGAGATTTCATGTAAGAATCCATAATATCAAAAGAATTCTGCCCCATTGTGGTCTTTCTGAGTACTTTACAACAGAAGAACTGCATTACTATTTTTCTGTAGTCCTTCCCTAAGAAGGTGTCCATTGTTTCTATGTAACTACCCCTTTTTCTTATGCAGCTTTTATTCGGGGGTTGGATACTGTTCTTTGGATTTCAGTCAGTCCTATTTTCTCCTAATCCAAAAGTTATATCTCTTTATCTTTGGACTCTTAACTTGAATTGGGTATTAATTTAATATTCAGGATTGGATGAGCCCATTAGCCTGTCAGGTCGTTCTGTTTAGCAAAGTACTACTTTGACTAAGATTGTACTGTGCCCTTACTTTTGGCACTTCAGCTCCAGCCTGAGCTGAAAAGCCCAAGAGATGTCAGAAAAAATACCTTGCACCTAGCAGAGAGTTAACAGTGGAGAGCAATCAGAAATTGTTAACCTGAATGGTAAGTCTTTCAAATGGAATTGCTTTGTACAAGTAGCTGGCCACAGCCCAGGGAAATCAGCATTTCCAATGACCTGGTGAAGGACTGGAAATTGCTTGGAGGGGGTTTATCTAACAAGAGGGACTGGAACTTTGGGAGACTTTTTCATCAGACACGGGCAAGATTGGGGAGGCACAGAAAAAGAAGGTCTTGGAAGAACGAAAGTCCTGATCACAGTTCATAGGGCTCTTGAAGTGGTAAGAAGGCTCCAGGGAGTGTTTAGCATGCACATTTTTGTTGTTCTTCCATTTGTCCATGTGTGTCTCTATTTTGTCTGAATAAAGTATACTTGGTTTAGAAATTGCTTTGCAAAGGCTATGTCCTTTGCTTTTACTGTCAGGTAGTCTATGAAGTGTGCATTAACTGCTTAGAGGAGCCAGCATGAGTTTCAGAGTATAAGCCACTGAACTGTTTGGACATGAACTCCAAGAGTGTGCCTAGAAGCTGAGAGCTTGAGACAGTGTCTGGAACCTGACCAGTCTAAAGCACAGAGAATTCAGTGGTTGGATCCAACTCAGCAGCCTGGTGAATATCCACTAGGGAAGTACACCTGTAAGGTATTTACACTTCTGTGGTTGCACTGTATTATACAGAATATCTGAGCTAGCTGTAAAATAGCTGGTGTGGGCATTAGAGCAGTCTGACAGTAGCTGCACAGGCTGCTTACCCTGCCAACTTCGTAATTCAACATAGATGCACACTTGGTCTTTGCCGTAAGCACCAGCTGTGTGGCTAAATATTTCATTTCTTTTAAGGCTTTAGCCTCAAACGTAATGCTTAATTATTAGCATTTTGTGTTGTCATGCACTCTACAAGCACCATAGTACTGAAGGATAGTACGTCATTGGTGCCATAAGTCTTACTGGACTTGACTCCTGCTGTGCCCATGTACATCACTTATTTTTGTGTGACATCCTTTCTTGTTAAGTAGCTTATTTTCAGAAAGACATAAATCAATAGGTGATGCTTCCCCATTTGTATTCTCTGATTTCAGGAAGGGCAGTTTAGATTTTTCTCTGAAAACAACCTTTGGAATAGATCTCTAGCACGGAATTCAGAATTGTTGAGTTATTTTTAAGAGATTCAAGAATATCCCTAGCAGATGTGTGGACCAGAAATGTTACATGCATGTGTAAATTTTAAAAATACAAACTCTTGTCGCAGAGATGACAAGATGCTAATGAACTTCAAGATCATGTTAACTGAAATGGATGTCTTCCAGTAGTGCTCCAGACTTTAGCCTATGACATTAAACCAAAATTCTAGTCATATTTAAATACTCAGAAACCAGGTTCTGTGTTTTATTCAGGAAAAGATAGTGTTTGTAATGTGGTGCACATGGGATCAAGGGTACCTCTTTCGGATATTTGAGCTATCTTCTTGACCGGATAGTCTAATCAGAAATTTTTCTATCAAAATTTGAAGCTCTTTTAAGCCTGAGGTTACTTAAGATGAAGGTAGTTTATTTTTTCAGCTCACTGTCAATAGCTTCAAGTGAAACTAGACAATTCTGAGACCCCTTTTAATGAGTCTTTTGTGTCATGGGTTTGAAAAGCAGTCCTGATAATTGCTTGCATAATCTAATAAGGGTTAAGGTTTCATATTTTCTAATGGAGAGAGGACTTCAGCTCAGAGGAAAGAAAAGCTTCATATTTTAGTGACCAGTTAACTTAATGGTTGTTGGCAATACCACAATTCAAGGCTGATTTCTACCATGGCTCACTGATGGATCTTGAAGTGACTTATAAGTCCAGTCCTTGAGCCTTGGATCCAGCTGCAGAAGTTATTGGTCCTTCCCCAGGGGAGAGTAGGCTGTGAGCCAAGCTTTGTCTCTCTCGCTCTCCCTCCTTCGCTCTCTCTGCTCCGCTTCAAAGACAAGAAGCGTTAACCACTTTATGCCATGTTTTGCAAGGATGAGGTCAAGTTACTGGCTTTTCATAAGTTTCTGACCAGTTAGGTGATAAAATATCTTATCCTTGTCATACCACAAAGTCCCTTTTGCATGTTTGAAGTGAAAGCCTCATTGCCTTTTTTAGGAAGGATTTCAGTTAAGGTTTTAGGCAAGGGAGGCCTAAAATGCTTCACTTCATATTCCACCAAGCCTGAAGGGCACCTATACGCATGCTTGATGCCTGTCCTGACACATGCTAATTAATTGATTGATTAAATGAGCCTGCTGGAGTGTGCTAATTAGCATGCTCCAGCAGCCTTGGCATCACGTGTATTCAGCATCCCCATGGTTCAAATGGCAGCAGGGACACTTTAACTAAAGCTTATCCAATGAGCTTTAGTTAAAGTTCCTGTCTCACCATTTTGAAGCATAGGACACTGAATACATGAGACAATGAGAACTTTTTAATTAGAGTGGTTTCTGAGAGCCACTCTAAAGCTCCTTCCTTCCCCTCACCCGCGCCCTCCCCCCAACCCGGAGCATGTGTGAAGACACCCTAACATTCTGGCTCTCTTCAGTGCCACATTTGGGTGTCTTATGCCTCTAGACCTTGTTTCTGAGGAAGGTACACTCAAACTCTTATACTCCCTAGGGTTTGGGGTGAGATTTTTTTTTGATTGGTTGTTTGCTTGGGATTTTGGGCCTTTTTTTTGGCTTTTCAAGGTGACTCCTGTATAAGATGAGCAAATTCTTGGAGTTCTATTTTTAACAAAATACACCCCATATCCATTCCACTTCTTCAAAAACCCTGCTTATGTGTTAACACTTGGTCTTACTTGACACGTTCCTTGAGCTTGCCTACTCTCCCAGCAGAAGGAACTTCTGTAGTAGTGATTTTCAATCTTTTGTCATTTGTGGACTCCTAAAAAAATTCAAATAGAGGTGCAGACTGCTTTGACTTGTAAGCGTGGGTATTCGTGTACTTCTGATTTATCATAGTCATATTTTTGGACCCTAAGACAGTCTACAAACCTAGTAATTCTGCTTCACTAAAGAGATCATTTACAGATTTATCTGACCCACTCACCTACCAGTTACCCTTTTGAGTTGGGTGCTGGAAGAATAAACATCTATATCCTAGAGAGTCCTGGAAGGTGCATGCATTTTATCTGCAATGATCGACTCCTTTTTGTACACACTTAAGATAAAGAAAATTTCTTTTTTGTGTTTTGCCCAAATAGAGATTAAGGAGCCTTAGGTTTCTGCTCTTCAAGGAGCTGGTTGCAATTTCTGGGGTGTATGTACCCCTTCATGGTTCTGCAGTGTCTCACTTCAGACAGCTGTGTTATCTTCCACACTTTCCTTCATTAATGCTAACCTCTGTCTTTGAGATGCCCCTGTATTGGTATAATAGATGTCACAGATTGAGGGTTAAGTAGTGTTAATCTGTACATAAATTGTAAAGGAAAATAGATAAAGTACCAAGCAACAGTGTACTGTGCCTTGAAGGGACACTGTTAAGACTACAACCAAAACAGCTTGAGTGCATCAAAGGAAGCCTGCTGCCCTGGTTTGCCCTGAGGGTGGGATTATCTGAACAGTAAGAAGAAGTTGAGCCTGGGACAATGGTCGTAGAAGCAGAGCTGGCTGCTCTAGACAGTAGTTGCCTTCCTCGGGTTCTGAGTGACAATTTGAATTAGGCCTCAGGGTGAAGACCCTGACATAAGGGCCTTGTGACATTTCTCAAGACTGGTATTTCCATGTGTTTTCTTTGAAGGCGGCATATTTGGGGGAGGGGGTTGACTGTCATGTGGCTTGGACTGTTTATAGGTACATTCTGAAATTCAATAATACATGTATCAGCTTTTCCAGCTGTTCAGTCTGAGCTAGGGTGACCACCTGTCCTTAATTGGGTGGGACAGCCCCAGAATGGGATCAAGTCTTGATCCCAGGATGCATAACTCTGGGACAGCATTTGTCCTGGATTTGCAGCATTATGGAGGGATCTGGGTTTCACCTTGCAGGTGGCTGGCTTTAGCCTGCAAAGGATGCAGGGGGCACCAAGTGCATATGGCCAGGAAAGCGCTGGGCATCGTGGAGAGCAGCTCCCTGCAGGTAAATCTATGGGGGGGAGTGGGGATGCCCAGGGAGAGGGGGGCGCGGATTGAGGCCCCCAGTCAGGAAAGGGGTGGGGCAGGGGCTGGGGCTGCTGCCCTGCTAGGGTGTTGCATGGGGCCTGGGCAGGGAGAAGGACAGAGCCACAAGCGGCTCATCCAGGGGGTGTGGGGGAGAGCAGCTCCCTGCTGCAGTGTGCACCTCCCCAGGGAGGGTGGAATGGAGGGCACATGTCCCCCAGATTTGTGTGTGGGGCAGAGACGGAGGTGGGTTGCCCACTGTGGGCTCAGGGCTCCCCGCCTTGCTGCCCTTCCTCTGGGAGCCCTGTGCCATGGCGATGCACCCCCTGCCTGCCCAGTAGCAGCTGGGGTGGCAGTGGCATGGAGTTGTGCCCCCCACTGCATCCAGGCAAGTAGTTAGCACACAGATGGCATGGGGCTCCCAAGGGAAGGGCACCAGGGCGGGGAGCCTCCTTCTGCCCCTGCCCGGTTTGGCTCTGAACCGGCTGTGCCACCAAAAGGGGGAGTGGGGAGGAGATGGGCAAACTTCTCACCTTTACATTTTAAAAGGTGGACATCTTAGTCTGAGCATCAAGTCAATATCACCTAAGTGGTATGATTTGTATTGCTGGGTTACTTTGCAATCTATAGAGAATGAGCAGAAAGGGAGATGAAACATATGGCAATGTCCCACATCTGGAAAACTATTCCCAGCACAGTGACCCATTTCCTGCGTAGAGGCCAATAACAGTCAGAATCTCTCCATCATTGGGAGAAATGATTTATTCCAAGACTGTAGCAGCACCAGGGGTTTGTTTCCTGTCCCCACATGCAATTGAAAACAGCCCTTTCTTCTCCTGGGATGTGAACAGCATTTTTACTATTGCAGAGTGAACTGTGTTCTTAGTATTGTGACTATAGAAAGAAGACTTTGCAAAATATGTGACTGTTGTCATATGGAAAGGAGGAGTTCATTGCATTAGGTTTTCCATCTCCTGTTCCTGCCTTGTGTGATGAGTGTTTTGTTCATGTTAAAGTGCTGAATTTGTTGCCTATGTTTGGGACGGGTACTTTTAATTCCATACTTCCATAGACGTGTTTTGTACAAAACCTTTGGTTATCAAAATAATAAAAAAAATAAAATAAAAAAAAAATATTTTAAGTGCAATTTGTATGTTTAAATAGTGTTGTATTGATTGAGATGCTTTTTTATGGCTTATTGACACTGGATGCAGTCCAAGTTCTGGTTGTCAGTACTGCTGTGATAAAATAGATTTTGAAAACCTTTAGGGGATGTATGCAGGTAACTACCTTAACAAGGCAAACTTCTCTCATTTTTTGTTTACTAAATCTGAGCCAGTAAATTTTGTACTTTTCTATCATTGCTACAGTATTTACCACTGGCAATATTATACAAATTGGCACATCTGTCATTGTACTCCAGAGGCATAATATAAGCCTAGCAGAGATTAAAACTGTGTAATATAGATGATACAGTTCCAGAAACGGAAGCATGGCTTACATTAAACAATAGATGTTGTATTTGCAAGACAGTTTTCCTTGTGTTATTGAGCCACCCTTCTGAAATGGCAGAAACAATACCAATACATTTATTTTCCCTTGGGGTTCAGTTGGTTGCAGTTGAGTCTCTCTCTTATGGGCTGTTTTTTTTTCATGTTCCCTTTTCCTGTAGTCCACAAAAACATGTATTCCTTGAGATTTTTTATTTTATAGTTTGTGCTCAGTAGAGTTAAAGGCTACTATGGCAAAGTGCTGAGCCAGCTTCTGTATGCTGTGCTGCTGATAACATCTCATTTGTGACCTGCTGTTCTAATTCTGAACAGAGATTGCTGGTTGTCACGTAGGGTGTATTGTGCTTTATGTTGTTAATAGACAAATCCCCAGCAGCAATTAGAATGGGGCCATTAAACTTATTTTTCACAGAGCCTATATTTAGTCTGTTAAATATGTGATCAGAGGTGAAAAGTTTTCTCGCCTTATGTATCTGTGCCCTTATTATCATGGCGTCAAAGCACAGTGCTAAAAGACTAAAAGTCATAGCTTCTGTTCTGTCACCACCTTCCTCCTTTCTTATTCTCCCCAATTCCTTTTTAGTTCCTTTTCATGTTTTATCTTTTTTCTAAATACGTTTTGCCCTTTTCAGTTGTGGGTTGGTCTGGAGAGAGACAACACAGTTAAATGTCTGATACAAAAGGTGGGCCTGTCTAATGAAAGTGGAGAGCAGTTAGTTGCATAACAGAATTATGAGTCAGAGGTTATATAGCATTTTCTCTGTGTGGTTTACATTTTCTCAAGCTGCTGCTTTTCTTACCTTATATTCTTGGCATTTAGTAAGTCTTTTAAAGTTTTTTTTTTTTTTTTTTTTTTTTTTTTTTTTTTTTTTT